CGAGAACATTTTCACGAGTGTTTGTGTTTTTAAGAAGGCACATAAGAACTTCTGCCATCCCATCATACAAGTTATTCATAACAGTTTTAATGGTTGTAAAGGATGACAGTAGATCAGCCGGGCGGCGAGTCGAAGCTTCAGAGAAGCATTGTTGGCTGGCAGAGTGGCAGTACAAGAACAACCATCCATTAATATAATCACATTTACACTTAACCAAAAATTAAAAAAAAAAAAAAGTAAAAATTGCTAGACTGTCTTAACTCTTAAGTACAACTGCAAAACGCTTCAGTCTTACAACTCCATTCATTCAATTCATAAAGTCATAAACGCATATCAAAAAATTCAATCTTGACAATAATAACTACTCGAGTAAATTTATGAAAGCGAACAAATTCGTCCACTCACCCAATATCAGGCTCACACTTGAATATGGCGTTATCGGGCAATGCACTAACATGAAAAAAGGGCCCCAATATACTATTCATCTCCATCACCCTCCCATTCAAATACATACCTCTCGGAATCCACCACGGGTGACTCACCAAAGCCTTTGCCCCCACCGGAAAATTCACCAGAAACAACAATGCCCTCAACGGCTGCTGAAAGTTCCCAAGAGCCGAAACTCTCAGTACACTCTCCCTCAGATCCTCGTACAGCTGTTTCAGAACTGGCTCAATCGAGTCATAATCCGCATCCCTGAAAAACTCCTCCAGAAAACCAGGAGGCGCCGAGACTCCACTACTGCTCCCTCCAAATCCGTCCACACTGCCACCCACCTCGGAAAAAAGCAGCGGCAGCAAAAGGGACGAGCTCGATTTGCTCGTCTCGTTATTCGGGAACATGTCGGGATTCCCCAAGTGAATCCTGCAGTACGAGACCGCCAATTTCTTAGCTTGTCTCACCACAATCTCCATTTCAGACCTAACACCCTTATCCTTCATTGACGCGATTTTCCTCCCTTCCTCGTAAGCGCGGCGGTACGAATTGAGCAGGTACTGAAACGGCGGCTCTGCCGCCGGAAATACGCCGGAGAGACGATCGATCACTACCCTCTCCATCAAGTCCCGGGACAGTCTCAAATCTTTACCCTCGCTCAGAATCTCGGCCGCCGTCATCTCCAGGTAGACGATTCTTGAGTCGTTTTCCATGGAATCGACGAGGGAGACGAGGAATATCTTCCGGAGGATGATGTCCTCGATTTCCGCCGGCGTCCTCGAGGGTTTCTGCGCCGCCATAGTGGTTGAATCGATGGATGTTGCAGCAAAATCGATTTTTTTTTTCTTATTGGTTTAGGGTTTATCGAGTGTTCCGATCAGTACATTGAAAGCCGGAGACTTTGGACGGCGGTCGTCGGGATTTTTACAACGTTGGTAGTTGCAAACTTGCAATGATGCATAATAGGATTTTCTATATATATAATCTATTATTATATAAAGAGGCAATCTAAAAAATACTTAAAATAGTAACTAAAAAATATTTTTAAATCCCGCCTAAAAATTAACTAAACATAGAAGCTTTTTTGAATTTTTTTCGCAATATTCTGCCACTTATGAAACCATTTGAAATTTTCAAAACTTTGAAATTTTATGTCAACATCCCAAATCTTCATTGCCGTTTCAAATTTTTAGAGATTTTCAAAACAATCAATTTTAAGACATTTTTTAAAGTTTAAACAAATCCACTTTAACATCTCCAAGCATATCAATATCATTTTGTATGGACACTCCCAAATATTATTGCAACATAAATAAATTAACTTTTAACATTGAAACAAATTCACTTTATATTATAAAACTATATCAATTTAAATAGCCACATTTCAATTTAATTAAATTCATGATTCATTTACTCCGAGTAACTCGATTTTTTTTTTTCAATAAATCGATCCATATATTAAGTTTGTTAATATCTATCTCACATCATCGTTCATTTCATTTGATTATGCCGAATCTTCTGTCAATAAATGAAAAAGAATATTAAGTTTGGTCTGGCGATGTGCATCACACATTAGAAAACAATTCCATTTATTTATCTGATTTTGTAAGGTTAAGTTGCATAACATGACATAACCAAATGAGAAAAAATATTGTTTTACACAATCAGATTACACAATAAATTGCTATTGATTATCGGCAACTATCAATTATAATTGGTATTCAAAATGTTAGAAATGATCTATACTATCACCAAGTTGCATAACATGATATAACCAAATGACATAAAAAAAAAAAAAAAAAAACTCAATAAATTGCTATTGATTATCGGCAACTATCTATTATAATTGGTATTCAAATATTACAAATGATCTATATTATCACCAATTAGAATAAATCCCACATATTTATCCGAAATTTGAAAGTTCAATTTCCTAACATGATAAAAATAAACCACATCAAATATTTTTTTAAAATTCATGATTCCAACTACTATACAATACAACTAATGTGATAAGTACGAACCAATTTTGTTAAACTAATGGTGACAAACCTCGAAATCGTATTTAAAATTTATCTAAATAAGATTTAAATTTTTTTTATATTCGATCAAAAATTTTAATCGTTATTTACAATTTTTCAAAATTTTAATTGTATTTACATTTTTTATAAATTCTTATATAAATTATAGTTAATTTATCATATGACATAAAATATAAATTGTATTGTTATTTACATAAATTTACGATATAAATAAAATTTGTGGTGTTGGTTAGTTATATTCGTAAAAAAATGTAATCGTATTTTTTAATTTTTTTTAAAATTTAATCGTATTTACATTTTTTTTAAACTTTAATCGTATTTACAATTTTTATAAATTCATATATAAGTTAAAGTGAATTTATTATATGACTTAAAATATAATTTTTACCATTATTTATATTCAAAATAAAAATTTAATCCTTTTACACTTTGTCTAAATTCGTATATAAATTGTAGTTAATTTATTGTATGACTTTTATTGGGCTTTTATTTCATTGAATACTTTGGAACTATTAGTTGTTTGATAGATACCATTCAATATTCCACTTCAAAGGATGTCACCTATTGATTGGCGTAGACATTATTTCGAAAATTCAAGATTTTCTAGCAAGGTAATATTATATTATTTAAATTATAACAAACAAATTAATTAATTATATATATTTTAATAGGTTTTCAACAAGCAAAATCAAGAGTGTGAAGTTGAAGAAAAAAAGCTCCATTATTGTTAAACGTGAGCTTCAAGAGCTAGAGGACGATGACATTGTTGTGAGCTCCGTTGATACTTTCTACGAAACCGATGAGGTAGTAATATTATTTGTTATTTTCTATTTTTCAATATGATTGATACTCAAAGTTTTCCTTTCAAAATAACATCAAAAATATATGTTAACCAATTATTTGTTTTTTTGCTTTTCAACGCTACGGATACATGAGTTTGCGCTACAATAGACTCAATAATTGATGATTGGGCGTACCTTGCATGCGAAAGGTGCAAGAACAAGATGTAGAATGTAGAAGGTCAATTTAAGTGCAACAAGTGTACCCATACACAGGGCTATACTTGCGCCGACACTGGAGATAGTAGAATCTATCAATGCATACATGTCTTCGTTGAATTTGATTGAATGCCGTACTTATTTAAGCTCTAACATTACATATAAATGCGACTCCAATACCAACTTTCTAGCAGAACTCCATACGCCTGAGTTCTTGAATACTATCAAGTATTTTGGAACACCGAATCATGAGTTGCATCTGAAGCTAGGAACTTCGGTAATGTTTCGTGGATCATTCAATAGGACTGTGCAAGGGGACACGCTTGGTTGTGACGAAGCTCTCCTATCATGTTGTTCTTGAGTGTAAAATTCTTACTGACGACCATGCAGGTGATAAGGTGTTGATACCTCAAATGACAATAACTCCTTCTAATGTTAGAGTATCATTAGTTCCAACAAAAATAGTTTTCCATTATGGTTTCCTACGCAATGACCTTAAGTAAGAGCCAAGGTAAATTCTTATCATATGTTGGCTTATTCTTGAAGAAACCAGTTTTTAGTAATGGATATGTTGTCTCCCGTGTTACTAACAGAAACGGTTTGAAAAAATTAATTTGTGAATAAGAAGAATTTGGAGAAAATTAAACCAATAATGTAGTGTATAGGAAATTGTTTAATAATATATGAGTTTTCATACATATTATTTATCTTATTGCCATAGCTCAGTGATTAATTTTTGAGAAAAAAAAATTAATAAAAAAAAGTTTTTGAAGAATAAGTCCCATCGTGCAACGCACGGGATCTACACTAGTGATGTTAATCAAACGTTTTAGATAAAAAGGTTTTTAAGTTTAATTATTGCATAATCCTAATATAAGTGTGAATTGAATTTCACTTTAGGTGGATAAAATAGTTTGGGAAAAATCCAATCAATGTAGGAAAGTTAACAAAATTTTAGGGTGGTTTGATAAAATTTCATCTACAATTTTTTCAGCCAATGGAGCTTT